CCTTTTCTGAGGCAGCTGCTTTTGGTTTTCATTTTCAACTCCAACTAAGTGCATTTTAAGGCCATCTTAATGATGCTTGCCATGCTTCAGCCAGACAACTTTATGTCCCTACTTACGAGATGCAAGCCATCTTGCATCAGCTGTTCCTCCAGTCATGCTCCAAGCAGCTCAATCTCTCTATATCTTGAATTCTCAGAACCCGAGGGTGAACATTCAGCCTGCTGTGGCAGAAGAGTTTTGCTCTTAGCCAATGCAAGATATTAGCAGAATTCAAATCTTGCAGAACTGGCTGCTCAAGCCAATTGTGAGGTGTTCATAGACTTTGACCAAGTGCCCTTCCAAAGACAAACAAAATGGGGCAAGGAAGGCCTGAATCTTTTGCAAAACAAGATACATTAATCAAACTCCCTATAACAAGCAATGTATTTATATACGCATTGTTGTACTGATCTCAATAATTAAAATCATTTAGTTTTTACTGAAATTAACAATGGAAGAATAGGAGCAAAATAAATTTCATTTGCATTCCAGAGTGTGACAGTCACACCAGTGAAAGCCATTTCCCATCTTCCAGATGGTTACATTCTGTGGGGAAACTGCCCCTTGACTCTACTCAGAAACCTTACTTTCTCCTATGTATTTATTATTGTTAAAGAAGTCCAAATGTTAGTAGTGAAGTGAAGTAGTAAAGTATATAGACAGAAGCACCAGGTTCTGGGTGGGCTCTGCATTGGGACAAATGTCTGTACGATTTTAAGTGGAAACAAATCAGTTTGTGATAGTGAAAACCCCTGGCAGTAAATGGATCTCCTTTTGCTGATTCTGTTTAACGAGGGTAGGTATGTTTGTTGGGTTTCTCTGTGTGAGGAAGGTTTGTGTGTGTCGTGGAAAAACCCAATGAAAAAGATAAGAGACAGCAACACAACAACAATAATTCTTACTTTACGATTCAGAGGTCTATTTTGCTAATAATGTGGAACATAGCATGCAAAATAACACAACATCACTTACGTTAATAACCCATTGCAATGAGGACCATATGGCAATAGCAGATTTCAAAAGGACAGCTATAGGCCAATGGCAAATCAATCAGGTCCAGTCCCAACCCTTTCTCATTCTAAGACTGTAGTCAGATGGTCTGCTGACTTTTGCTGACTTTCTACTGACTTCCTGCTGACCTTCTGCTGAACATAACTTTCCACATGTACCCGTGTACATTGGAACGTGCATCCATCAGCTACTTTCAGTTCCCCTTTTTTCATGGTTACAATACTCATGTTCCAAATATATACAGAACTACCTACTTTGCAATTTCATATTGCACAAAGCTCAGCAGATCACAAATAATACGTCCGTATTGGGAAACGATATAGAGTTCGAGTTAAAGCTTTGTTTTAAATCACTACTGTGGGGCCTATCTCAGGTTTGCTCCAGTCTCATCTTGTTATATATCTTGTTACATTTTCATCTCCCACCTGTGTATGTGAGAGAAGTGTTGGCAGAGGCAGATTAGGACCAATTATTCAATCTCCAGAGAGGTGGAGAAAGTGGGCACTGCATGGGATGTTTGCCTGGGTTTAATTTTTTTATGCAGTCTACTTTCCTTTTGGGGGCAGTCATAATAATTTCAGATAAATGTAGTACTTGCCTTCTCACTTTGAAAACGTTGTCCCACCAGCGTATCTCTCAGATACTCAGCAATTTTGCTCCTCAGACAATGAGGTTGATTTTCTCATTGTCAAGAAGGGACTCTACTTTGAAGTGTGACGTAGTAGTTCTAGTGTAATTGCCACTGAGGATGGTGATGATGATTATGTGTTATCAAGTTAATATTGACTATTAATGATGAAATAGATGTTCTCCATGATGGACTGACCCTAGCCTGGTCCTTCAAGTCTTCTAAACATCCATTGCCACTGCAACTGAATGCATACACCTTGCTTCTTCCATCTTTCCCAGCATTAGAGCCTATTTATTTCTATTTATCAACCCATTTTTATTGCCTTTTATCGATAACCCAAGGCAGCAAACATACCTAATACTTCCTCCTCCTCCTCCTATTCTTCTGTAAGGTGAGTTAGACTAAGAGAAAATGACTGGCCCAAAGTTGCCCAGCTTTGGCTTTCATGCCTATGGAGGGACTAGAACTTTTCCAGAGAGCCAGAACTTTCCATAATGTCTCTGAAATAGGATAATTTGAATCTGGTCACTTGTGCTTTGAGTGAGAACTGAGTTTTGTTTTTTTGAAAATCCATTTTGTTTGTATCCATCATTTGTCATGATCAGCTCACTCCTGCTATCAACTTCTGTGGCAGGATGGTCTCATTAAATAGTCCATCCCAGAGATTTTATGGATCTGATTAGCCAGTTTCCTTTTGGTGCCCTATTGAAACCTGAAATAGAAAAGTGTTAAAGGCATTGCATATGCTTCATCTAAAGTGGCTTTTTCCTGAGCAAAAATCCTAGACTCTTCCTTGACAAACTGAATTGTTCTGTCAGATGAAGAATCAGAAGAGGTACCTGAAGTGGTGCTTGTGAAAAAAAAATAAGAAGTGGACATTAGATACTAGCACATGTTCATGTTTAAACCTACATTTTGGTGGTAAATTGTCTGTGCTTCTCAGCACCCTTTGTTTCATCAGATTCTTTGCAGATGTTGTAATAATGCTTCTTGTCTCTTTTCATAGCTCTTTGAAACTAATATTTTGAGATTTTTGTCTTTCTGAGGTTTGCCTTCTCTTCTCTACAGTTTCCACAGTTGCTCTAACATCCAGTCTGGCAGTCTCTTTTCACACTCTTTAACAACTTTTTGAAAGTCTTTCCATAATTCCTCTGGTTCTTTATCAATGAGGTTAAGGATTTCAAAGCAATTCCTGATGTTCCCCTTGAAAATAGGAGGCATATAATATCATCTCCTCCTCCTCCAAATGTACTCAATTTGTTTTCTATATACTCCATCTAGTGATGTCTATGAAGTGGTATCGTTTGGGTTATTTGACTACAGTCTAATTATCTAGCAGAAACTATATGGCAGAAATTGAACAGTCGGCTGCTTCATTTCAATTTCCTCAGCCATACAATCTAACTACATTTTTCTCTTTCATGTTCCTTTTGCAGTCTCCAATCATGAGCAGCACGTACTTGCATGTTCCGTCAATTTCAAATTGAACTTGATCATAAAGCTCATCAGTCTTCTGCATCTGTGTTTGAAACACAAACTTGAATCATTGTTATTTTATATTAAAGGGTTGTCTACAAATATTAATCCATATTACCTGGTCATTGATGGCATTGTAGCTTTGTACGATTCTTGCTATAGTCTTTCTAACTGTAAAAGCAAAATTATTTCCCCTTTGTTTTCATGTCCTTAATTAATAAACAGTGTGATCATCTGACTGAAAGTGTTCAATCCCAGTCCATTTCAGTTCACTGATGCCTAAGATGTAAATTTGTAATTGTTTCATTTCATCTTTCACTGTGTTCATGCTTTTTATGTTCCATGTTCCTACTGTAATTTTATCTTTGCCGCTTTGGATTGTATTTTCCTGTATGACAACATCAGCAGCTACATGTCCCAAAGGGTTTAATCTAACCCATCATAAACATGATTAGAACCCCAAAAGATCTTCAGCAGTTCCTCACTAGTGTGTTGTGCCATCTGACTCTATCTCTTAAATTATAACCAGATACAGCAGTGAATGCTCCAACACTGGAAGTTTTTAAGAAGAGACTGGACAACCATTTGTCCAAAATGGTATAGGGTTTCCTGCCTGAGCAGGGGGTTGGACCTCCAAGGTCCCTTCCAATTTTATTATTATTATTATTATTATTATTATTATTATTATTATTGTTATTGTTATTGTTATTGTTATTGTTATTGTTATTGTTATTGTTATTGTTATTGTTATTGTTCTTATTGTTCTTATTGTTCTTACTGTTCTTATTGTTCTTATTATTATTATTAATGTAAAGACTTTACGGTAAGTCCTCAACTTACGATCATTTGTTCACTGCCCATTTGAAATTACAATGGTAACCGAATGAAGGGACTTACCACTGATACCCGAAGTTATAGCCAATGCAGCCCTCTGTGGTCACATGATCAAAATTTGACTGCTTGTGAGCCTGCACAGACCTGTGATCCCATGGGAGGATGCAACTCAGCCCCCCCCATCTGCCACCCCATCTATGTCCTTTTCTACCCTGTTACCTTGCCTTGCTGGGTGGCACGAAAACTCAAAGCTTTAGCCACATATTGCAAACAGCAGCAGGAGAAGGAGTCGGACAAGCATCAAAGGAGCAAAAGGAAGAACCTGGCTTACTGAAGCTGGGAACAGACCTACTTCTTACTCCTTGAAACCAGAAGAGGAAGAGAAACCAGAGCCGATCAGGGAGAAAGCTCAGTGAGATCTATGACAATACCCTGCAGCCAACGACCAACTTGCCATCTCTCCACAGCCAATTTGCATGGCCAACTCATTGTGGGAAAACTCGCCGCAACCACCTCTCTCCAGGACAAGAATTACACTAATATGAAAGAAATGGTGGAATAGAATCATTAAAGAAAGGATTCAAAAGAAGGGGCAAAAGGAAATCTGAATGATAAGCATTAAAACAATTTTTTATTTACTATAAATAATTAAATTGAATTGTTAAATTGTCTCATGAAGAGTTGTCCCAAATTAAGTTGTCCATAGCCTGTTAGTAACAATGAGTTGGCCATTGCGAGTTGGGTGTGGCAAGTTGTCCCATTGGAGCTCAGTGATTCATCCAGTGAGGATGTTTTGCAAAAGATGGAAGCCACCCTTATTGGCTGGGCTCTGTCTTAATCAGGTGGCATTTGGGAGACTGCAGGCCTCTCCTGGATCTTGCTAGGCTTTGGGGAAGCCATTCCCCAAAGCAGCTCTGAGACAAGCTTCCCAAAACCTTTGCTTTCCCCTCTCTCTCTCTCTCCACATTTTCTATAAAATATCGGTTTAATTCTCTAATTTTAATTTTAGGTCAGATATAATCTATCATAACTGACATGAACAGCATTGCGAGAGAAGATCTTTACAGAGCATTGAATGACCTCCTTGAGGAGCAATTTGAAGAATTTAAATGGCGGCTAATATGTATTGACCACAGTGGAAAGCCAAACATTCCTCCAGCTTCATTGGAGAAAGCTAATCGACAAGAAGTTGTAGATCTTCTGATTCAAAATTATGTGGAAGGTGCTCCAGAAGTGTGCATTCGTGTCCTTCAAAAAAGCAATATAAATGATGTTGCTAAAAAACTTGAAGAAACTTTACAGAAAGGTAAGAAAATCCAACATATTACAGAAAAGTTCTCTCATGTAACATCAACTAGAAATAAACACCAGTTTGATTTGGGGAGCTGACTCCTGCTGAATCATGTTCAACTAATTCATTGATGTTGACCAGGATTAGCAGTGGGCCCCTGGGATTTCAGAGAGGAGTTTTCCATCAAATCTGAGATTCCTTCTAATCTTGGACCTGCTTTGCATCTGCTCTGTCGCTCAGTTTGGCACTCTCCTATCACTGAGAAAAGAGAAAAGAAAAGGAAGGAAGAAAAAAGTTAAGTCAAGTTCAACCGAACAGTTCATTGATCTAAATTTAAAGAATATACTTAAAGGTTTTATTTATTTATCAAATCTTTAAAACGGTTTCTCTTCCTAAAAGGAAGGGATGGTGTACACGTAAAACAATATTAAAATGTAAACATTTGATAAATAAAATTTACAATCTAAAAAGGCAAGAATGGATTAAAAATTACTATCAAAAATTAATGAAAAGGCATGGAGATGGCTGTCAGGGTGCTAACCACTCTATAGAGGCATGCTCTTCTGTGCGTCCCAAGGAAGTCCTCAGAGCCATGCTTCTATATGTTTCCAATAGGCCAGGAGAGGAGGAGCACCACATGGTGGGGACAATGGCAGAGAAGGTGCTCTACTTGGACACCATCAGTGGGAATTTTTAGCTGATGGAGTCCACAACATACATTCTCTGCATGACAAGATGGGATGTGCTGAAGTAATGGGATTATGATGGCTCTATAAGTAACTTGGTCCATGCCTTATAGGGCTTTAAAAGTCATGACCAATACCTTGAATTGGACCCAGAAGCATATTGGCATTCTATGAAACTGTGTTGCTCCACTCACACATGCACACACCACAGTAGGCTAAAGGTGTTTATTGAACTCTTCATCCATGCTGACCACAGCTGCTCTCACTCCCCACCTGGAGCCTCCAAGCTAACTTGTATCCAGGATTTTCTCTGCCCAAGCTCAGCTGGCTGCCAGTCCAGTTGTTCCAGCTGTAGTTGCTCTGATGAGCTGGAGCCAGCTGCTCCCTCATCTGAATCCATCAGACTCCTGGCTCACTGGCCTCTCTTCCCTGGAGGTGCCAGGGACTAGCTCATCCTCTTCCTCCAAACCAGCATCCAGAGAGGAGAATGGAGACACGTCCATTACAGAAACTCAGGCAGCAAAAGTGTTACATGTACTCTTTTTTGGGCTCCCAAGATTGCCCATGAGGCCATATTCTATACCAGTGAAGCAGCTCCCCGTTCAAAGGTAGCCCCATGTAGAGCTCATTGCAATAGTTGAAATGGGAGATGACCAGGGCATAAATGACTGAATGGAGATCCTCCCTATCCAGGAAAGGGCATAACTAGTGCATAATGCACAGTTGAGCAAAGGTCTACCTAGTCATGGCTGCCACATAATATTTGGACAGCAATTGTGAGTATAGGAGGACCCCTAGATTGTGCATGCTTTCTGTCTGGATAGTGCAACCCTATCAAAAACCAAAGATGCTAAATTTTTGGATGCAGAGGGGCCCAACCACAGCCACTCTATCTTACCGAGGTTCAGTTCAAGTCTGTTGTTCCTATTCAAGCCTCCACAGCCTCCTAGCCCCAAGGGAGAACATCCGTATCATCACTCACTTCACCTGGGATGGAGATATATAACTGGATATCATCCATGTACTGATGATATCTCATCCTTTAGTAATGGATGATCATACCCAGTGATTTCATATAAATATTAAAAAGTAGCAGAGAAAGTACCAAGCCCTGCAACACCCCACAAAGGAGGGCTGTGAGATGGACTTCTCAGTCCCTATCAACACTAATTGCAACCAGCCTTGGAGGAAGGAAATGAATCAGTAGAGAACGGTACCACTCACCCACCCTCAACTCCCTAAGGATACCATGGTATCAAAAGCAACCAAAAAGTCAAGAAAACAAGGATGGATGCACCATGTCCATCCCTATTCCATCAGCAGTCATCCATGAATGTGACCAATGCTTTTTCTGTCTCATATCTGGGTTTGAAACCTGAGTGAAAAGGTAGAATAATCTGTTTGCTGTTTGTCACCACCTTTTCAACCATTCTCCCCGAAAAGGAAAGTTGGCAGACTGGACGGAAAGTATCCAATCAAGCAGTATATTTGAAGCTAAAGTTTGAAATGTGGGATACTTGGTGTTCTCTGAGCTTGCAACTGTTTCATTACCCAAACTAGGTAAAATTATCAGTGCTAGTCAGAACAGTGTTCAGAATGGTGGGATCTACAAATGGCTTCATTAGGAGGGGACGCATCAGAGCCACAAACACCCTGACCATTAGGGATGAATTTTACATCCATTAATCACCCAAGGCAGAGCAGTCTAATGGGTCCAGCCTCCTTGGAGAGGGGGGTAGCATAAGAGAACTTGAACGTTACCTGGTCAGGAACTGACCATGATTCAGTCTATTTGTGTTTCCTGACATGATGCAATATTAGAATATTTTACAGGTGGTGATGCTTTGTTGCTGTTACTGAAGAGAGCAGGGTATGCAATGCTGGTTGAAGAGAACAAAGAAGGATATCATTTGCAGCTATTAAGATTCTTGGAGGACCAGGCACAAAAACAGCTAGAGAAGTGATTGAAGCCTGGTAAATGGGATCCTCGTCAATAACCAGAATGCTGATTTGTCACCAGCTTATCAAGTACTCAGGAGGCAAGGACTTGGCAGCACAAGCAAACAACAGCCAACGACTTAATAGCCAGCCATTTACCCCCCAATTAACATCTAAAAAGCCACACACAACAGGTACCATATAAATACCACACACAGAACAACCCAAAGCACAAACTTTGCTTGAGAGAAATTCCTTGAAGATGGGCTCCAGCATGAATCTGAAAACTCAGAAGACAAAACATCTGGCCCTGATGACCTACCCAGATTGGATCCAAAGACACAGTCTCTCTCAGGAGCCTCAATGGAAAGGAAGTGAGAACTGGTTTTGGGAAAGCACAGTCACCAAATATCTGAAAACTCACGAGTACATTTCTACACTGGGGATCCCAAATCTGGTATCCAAGAAGTATCCCAGAAACAGTATTAATCCCAAGAAGAAATCCCATTTGAGCCTTGTTGCATCCTGAAGATCTGCTTTAATTTGCCTGACGTTGTGTTAGATGGCATGAGACTGGCCTTTGCAGAAACAGCAGTGTTCTTGAAGGAGGGCACAACCCACCCACCCTTGAAGAGTTCTCCAAAGATCTAGGGGGCTGCAATTTCATTGAACTATTTAGGCTAGAGAAGAAAAGGCTAAAAACATTGAATGGCTGACATGGCACCATTGAAACCCAATTTACATCCATCTGAAATATGTTAAAGAGGTCAGTTGGTTCCTAAAACTCCAGTGCCTGAAAGCAACCTATAGACAATTGAGAAAACCCAAAACAACTTTTATCTAAGTTAGGGGTTTTGCTTTGATAAAGATGGTATGCAAAACTCCTCACATTTAGGATATAGTTGGAAAATAAATTGTGTATGCTGTAATACACCCATTCAACATCTGAAAGCCCCCACAGTTGGGCAGGCAAGGTTTTCTACCTTCAACTTTCACATATGAAAAACAAACCAGGATTGAAAAGTAGAGATGAAGATGATGAAAGGAGGGGACTTTATGCAGAGACTAACAGGATGAAAAATGCTGCCGAGCCGGTAGTAGAGCTTCGAAGAGCCCTGGAGGAAATTATTACCTTAGATCCTTTCCAGTCGTGTTTCAGGCTGAGATGGTCTTCGTGCCACTAATGGATGGCCTCTGATGGGAGCAGAATACGGATAGTGTGTCTGTCCTATCCCTCCTTGATCTCTGTGTGCCCTTTTACATCAGTGGTCTTGATAGCCTTTTGAAACGGCTTAGTATCTTAGGAGTAGATTAATAGCAGTTCTTCTTCTTCCAAAAAGAAATTTATAGAAATTCATAAGAACTGTTAGATAAGAAATCTAATATACCTTGTGAATGTAAACATCCATAATTGCTATGTTACCCATGTATTTACCTATTTTTTTAAAAAATGCTCTGAATTTACCTATTTTTTATAGTTTGTATTTCACTAATTCAGTCCAACTTCAGTTGCAGATGCTGATGCTCCCCAACCACCAGATTCATCAGGTAAGGAAAAAAAATATTCAAAGGATCACCAAATTATTTTTAAAGCTAATTCAGCATGATCAGGTCCTCCCCTCTCCCTCCCCACCTATGCAAGAAGCTTTTGTGAAAATTAATCACTCCCAAAATCCTGATGGGGAAAACTCCAGGGTGGTTCTTGCAGTGGAGGAAGGAAAGAAGGAAGGAAAGAAGGAAGGAAGGAAGGAAGGAAGGAAGGAAGGAAGGAAGGAAGGAAGGAAGGAAGGAAGGAAGGGACCCCACCATTCATCCTTTTATTTTTTCACATGCCATTGTTATTAGTTTTTCAGAATATAAAATACAAAGGAAAATAATAATAATGGGAACTGGAGGAAGAGAAAAGGGAAAAAAAGAGAAAGTGTGGGGTAGAAAGGGAGAAAAAGAAAAAAAAAAGCATTGGTTTCCAACTCTCTTTAGCACAACAGAATATAACATTACAACCTCAGCTTGACACTTTTATACAATAACATATACTAGCCATTTCTATAACAACAAACCAAAAACCAAAATAAAGTTTTAATTTTCTATCATAAGCACAAAATCCAGAAGCAGTTTCCAAATAAAAACAAAATGAGATATATTAATTTCTTTTGAATAAAGCAATTAATTTAACCATCTCTACTTTTTTTGCTATGGAAAATAATATATATTTCTATTTGCACATTAATATTTATAGACTATCATACAGATTAGCAAAATTCACTATAGTTCAGATTCTTTAACCCGAATGGGGAAAAAAACTTTTTCTTAACATCTATGTTAAAACTCTATACTTTTGTTTAAGAATATTTGTAAAAACAAATTCTAATCCTTATTTTTTAAACTTCATCTTAACATAGATATTTTCAAATACACTTTCAATAATATTTTAGAAGCTTTAGGAGTAACAGGCATTATATATAAAGGAAAAAAATGCATTTTAAAACCCAGTTAAAATGTTCTTTTGGTTACATATATAAATTCTCCTAACTCCAATTAACTCACTAAATTTAAGTTGCTCCTTCCAGCCAATTAATTCATTAACTTTAAGTCACTCCTTCTAGATTATCTTCCTAGAATAAAATATTTTTCTTCTCTGGAATGTCTATCAAGTAGTTACAAACTTCTTTTTCTCAATGAATTCTCAACCTTGTTAGTATCCATGAAGAAAAAGTCCAAAATTGTCCTCTGAAAGTTACAGATTTTCTTGGAACTCTTCTTTCAGTTGTGCTGGGAGGTTTATATTTAAACCATCATCATAATAAAGATTGGTTTCAGATTTATGTTCCAAAACTGCAATTGTGTCCTTTGCATTGTCAACCACTTGTGAAATTACTCAATGGTTTGGTAACTTTCTTCACATAATTGCATCTCTGAAGTGGTTTGAGTAGTTTTTATAACATGCTTTGAATTTAATTGATCTATAAAATGGAGACTTTTTTTTCCCAAACACATCTCTAGCTATTTGCCCAGCTCCATGCTCCATCTTCTTAACTCCATCTTGTGGTCAAAGGGTAGATTTTTTGTAAATCACAAGAATTGCTGGCCAATCAGAATTCAGTAAATCGAAAAGTTTTAACTACCCACAGCAAAGCAGACCAAGCTACAAATTACTTAAAAATAGTAAAATAAAACCACAACTTTCTATCCTTACGTTTTGCCATCAAAGTTAAAAAAATGATACTCATCACTTCCTTATTTTAGCTTGCCTTTAGCAACCTTCTTCCTTGTTTAACAATAAGGAAGCCCCCAAAATGGTGCAGATCTTCTGAAAAAATAACAGGCCGTGGTTAAAGAGAGCTTCTCTTAGCTTAATAAAGATAATGCTCCCTAAAAGTGAGAAGTGAAAGGGACAACTTATTGACCATTTGAAAAATAAATTGACTACTTTTTCAGCAATGAATAATTGCAGTCCCACCCTGCAGTTGTCAACTCACCTCTTGCTTTGAAGCATAGCTCCTTTTAAAAAATATATTTTTTATTAATTTTCTAATTTTACATTTACGTATTTTAAAAGCAACGTGGTGGCTGGGTTAATCAATAGTTAATCAGTAACATACAAAAATCTTTAGTACAAATCTCAAACTACAACCTCAAATATTTCCTCTCTTTTTTCCTTAATATCTACTATCTCATATTTAAGCTAATATAGTTCTTATTATATCAACTAAATAAAAACATCATTATTACATTTATCAATACATTTTTAGCTTATACATATCTTAATTATTTTTACATTCAATCTTTACATTCAATCAATGACCTGTTATTGGGTTTTCCCAATTTTTAGTTTCCCATCAATATTCAAATTTAATATTTGATATTTATAATTTCCAGGTTTTAGGTAATCAAAGTTTCCTTTATCTCAATTCATAACAAAATCTAATATTCAAAATACACATCTTATCTATTTGGGTATAATCTTGTTCTATGTCCTAAAAGTTATCTATTCCCCCCATCTTACATCATCTAATTAATAATACAGTATCCCCTTTAATAAATCAAATCCCATTATCTATAGTATCTGAGTTAGTCAATAAATCAAACATATTCATAATATTTTCCCTAAAATTTCCCTTATCTCAACTTCTCCCTTTGACTCTCTAATTAGTAATATGAAATCCCCGCTAATAAATCAAAACACCAACTAGCCTTCTATGTCAATGCTTTTAAATTATCAAATAGATCTCCTTCTATTATTATATATATTGTTTGGAATAAGAGAGACCATTTAGTTGCCATTTTTTGGAAGAACTAGCCCATTTGTATTCCTTAAATCGTCTCCCTATTATTCCAAATCCCCATAATTGTCCTGGTATGTTTATCTTCCATTCAGTCTGTTCTTCTTCTTGCTCCTCAAATTTCTTCTGATTTATACAGAAAGTCTTTTCCATTTTCAGTGTTGTCAGTCCCTTTTCTGGATATTCCATTGACTGTATTTGTTGGTCAATTGTCCTCTGTCTTAGTATTTGATTGTTCCACTTCTTCTGTTACCTTCTGCATTGTTAGTTCTTTAGTTGTAGTCAGAATTTGGGTTTGTATATCTAAGCTGACATCTTGTTCTTTTCTGTAACATCTTACTTCGTCACAAGCTGAAAGGATGGTTTCATGTATTGCTTTCGGCATGGAAAGAATCTTTTCCTGGTCTTCATCTATCTTCTCTTAGTGGTGCATTAAGTTGAGGACTTTGAAATCAGATGATGAAAATAATTTTATAGCTGGGTATGGGGCCTCTATTTCACATGTTTGTAGGTAGTTTTTATAGTAAAAGTTGTTTGTCAAGTAAGATTTTATAATCCAAGGTATTTCATTATCTCAAATAACGACCAATATTCCTCAGATAAAAAAAGTAGGAAGACAATTCCCCACATACAGCTCTAAAGATCAATAAAAGTTTATATTCATAGTTCAAGGAGGCCAGCCATGCCACCCAGAAGTTCTTTTTACAGTTGAACTTCTCACAGGTAGTGTTTATCAAAGTTAAAAGAGTCTTATCTGTAGTCTGGGCTTCAAGCCAAGTCTCCTTTAGGCAATAACAAGTTGTAATAACAAGCTTCACCACAAGATGTCACCGATGCCGCTTAAGGTTTTTTAAGTACAAATTTTTTATAGTCCTTTTTCCAATTTTATTTCTTTTTTATGGATAAAAAAAAAGTCTTCCATGAGAATAAGAAAACCTTTGGTCCCCAAGTTTCAAAAACATGTAAATCCAATTAGATTAAAGTTATTCTTTTAGTGCTTTAACTCCCCTGGGTAGTCAGTCACCGCTATTCATAGAGGGTGGGGTAGAAATTCCTTTCCCTCTTTCCTCACAGGGGGAAAGATACTTTGGGCAGCTTTTACAGGAAGAAAAATACTTAGAATCTTAGAGAGAAGATCAGATCTCACCCAGTTTCATATGCATTGCTTTAGATAGAAGTGCCTGGTGGTAAGTTTGACTTTGGCTGTCTGCAGCCTAGTGACGAGCCATATTGCTATGGCCGGTCTTTCCTCTGCCACTTTGGAGGGCTGCCCCGGATCAAGCATCACCCCTACAGGGTGACTTTCGACTCTTTCCAGGGTCCCCCAATGGAATGAAATCAAACGTGGCAGATGGAGCTTGCCTTCCAGCGGCTGTGGCGGCCACAATGGCAAACCGGAAGTCTGAAGCACAGCTCCTGAAACTACTTGTAGACTGCTGCTGTATGAAATATATTGTCAGGTGATTCTAGGACTCCCCCTAACCCAGGAGAGTCATATAAACTAAAAGGAATGCTGGTTTCATCTGTTAGTAAGTTGAAAAAATGACAGTCCAGAGAAAACTCCTTCAGGGAGCCCCAGGGAGCCCTCCCTGGGCATATCGTCAGTTGGCCATCTTCACTGGAAATCCCCTCCCCATACATCCTTTTCAACCAGTGGTTCCCCTGGACTCTCCCTACCTGACTTGCCTAATACCTCTTGTACAGCCCCAGGTGCTTTTCCTAGGAAGGAAGGAAGAAACAGAAAAGAAGGAAAGAAATAAGGAAGATTTCAATGCTCTCTGACAGCTTCCCACAGGGAAGCCTACAGGAAGTTATAAGTCATTCCAGCCACATTGGATTTTTTGCCCTCCCAAGATCATTCTGTTTCTTTCTTTTTTTTAGAAAAGGAAATATATGTATAAAATGATGACCCAGCAGGCCACAGATGTCCAGTATTATATTACCATTATCCATTCATATTCTTTGTTACTACACAATTTGTTCTGAACTTGCAAGTAATGTGAAGTCTTTAATTCATTGGCTAATTGGGACCATAAATGTATTTTTTCAATCTTGAATAAAAAAAAATCTCCTAGTGCTTCAAATTGCACAGAAACCATTTCTGTGCAATTTGCCATCAATTTCCATGTAATAGGTAAAAGTTCAAAAGAATATAGCCATATCAAAAATTGAACACCCATCTCAAGTCAAACTGATGCACATAATGATGTTTTCTCAAAATATAATAATTTCAGAATATTGCAAAAATTATGTTTAACTGACACA